TTAATCCTTTCAAGCACATGATTGACTCTTGTTTGGTACAAAAGCCCTGGATTTACAAATCTGCCCCATTCATATCCTGTTAATCTCATTGGGTGCAGAGGAGGCAGCACACAAATTGGCCACCTCAAGTGGCAAAATAAAAAGAAATGTCTACCAGAAGCCCTGCTCTTGATCATCCACTATTGTTAGTGTGAGGGGAGCGTTGAGTGAGGCCGTTGCCTGGCCTTGGAAGTGAGACAATTTCTGCCAGTTTGACAGCTCACCGAGACTCAGACTTGGGGGAGTCAATTGCCTAGTGGTATTATTGCTGGACTGTTAATCCAGAGACTCAGATAATATTCTGGGGACCCAGGTTCAAATCCTGCCACAGCAGATGGTGGAATTTGAATTCAATAAATATCTGGAATTAAGAATCTAATGATGACCGTGAATCCATTATCAATTGTTGGAAAAACCCATCTGGTTCGCTAATGTCCTTTAGGGAAGCAAACTGCCATCCTTACCTGGTCTGGCCTACATGTGACTCCAGACCTGCAGCAATGTGGTTGACTCTTAACTGCCCTCTGGGTAATTAGGGATGGGCAATAAATGCTGACAAGTGATGCCCACATCTTATGAATGAATAAAGGTAAAAAAAGACTGAAGGACACCCCCCTTTGGCCAAGTTACCAGTCTCTATAGAAATACACCCAGCAGCAATCTGAGCCCTCAGAGGAGAATAAACAGCTGGAAAAGCATGTATAATTCTGCTAGTTTAATTGATTTGGCCTGTTGTAATGGGCTCATAAATCTTGGACTCCATTCAGTCTGGTTGGCATGATGGAAGGTAAAGATTTGAATACTCAAAAGCCTGGACTGAAACCTCAATTTTCATTGCATTCCTTTCAATAAAGAGAAAGGGCCCCTGTTCTCCACCACATTACTGCCAATGCATTAGCAACTAACCTTTCCTCGTTAAGCAAATGATGGATTCAGGGAATGAGTATTTAGCATTCTGAGGTACTACTGAGGGATTATGAAACGTTTCTTGTTTCGTTTGTTCTGTGTGCCAATCTCACCTGCTACTTTACCACCGTAACGTCACCAAACGATCAGCCATTAATCCCGGACACAGATGAAGAGCAAAATGGATTTGGTCATTGGCAGTCAGCGTGCAGAGGACAGAAAAGTTCTTTTCTGTGTGAAAACTGGAAATGTCAATCTAATACAGCAGCATCATTTTGTATGTTAACATTAACTCTGTTTTCTCTACACTGATGCTGCCAAACCTTCTGAGTTTTTCCAGCTATTTCTGATTGATAGCATCTGCAGTTCTTTGGACTTCTGTTTAGCACCATTTTGTATTCTCCTTGAACACCATGCAGTCGCAACACCATCCTTTGTAATTGAATCATATGACACAGAAGAGTCCATTCATCATAAAATACCTGTACTGCCTCTCCAGAAGAGCCATCCAGTCAATCCCATTGTGTATAATGTCACTCAGTCCACTGGAGTACTGTGTGCAGTTCTGGTCGCCAGTCTTTGTGGAGGATGTAATTGCATTAGAGAGGGCGCAGAGGAGATTCACCAAGATGTTGCCTGGCCTGGAGTAATTTGTGTGTGAAGATAGATAGGCTAGGCTGGGTCTGTTTTCCTCCCAGTAGGGAAAACTAAGAGGGGATGTCTGAATGAGGTGTACAAAATTCTGAGGAGCAGAAAAACGGTGGATAGAGTGAAAACTTTCACTTTAGCAGAGGCGACAGTAACCAGGGGATATCATATTAAAGGGAGGAACAGGAGATTTAGTGGGGATTTGAGGAAATATATTTCACCCAGAGGTGATGGGGATCTGGAACTCACAGTATAAAAAGGTAGTAGAGGCAGGAACATTCACAAAGTATTTAGATGAGCACTTGAAATGCCACAGCATAGAAGGCTACGGGTCAAGTGCTGGGAGGTGGGATCGGAATAGATGCTTGATGATCGGCATGGACACAATGGGCTGAAGAGCCTTTTTCCATGCTGTAAACACTCTATGACTCAACCTCTGCTTTTTTTTTAAGGAGGCCCACAATGTTTTTCTTTTGAACAATTTACCCATTACCCTTTTGACTGTTCCTATTGAATCTGCTTCCATCACCCTTTCAACCAGTGCTTTCCAGATCATGACAACTGACTCCCACTGACCCTGAGACAACAAGGTGCAGGGCTGGATG